CAAGGCAAGGCTGAGGGCGTGTGGATGAAGCTATGGTGGAGGGTATCAGGTGTCGTGCCGTGATGGAAAGGTCACCGCAACTGCTGAGGTTGAGATGGAGTATGTAGATGTGAATTGAAAGTTTTTTATTTTAACAAATTTATTGACAAAACTTGGAGTGCAGTTTGCCTATTCTGAGTAATTCAGTCAGGTCTTGACGCTGAGGGTGGTATCACTTCTCACTGTCACGCAGGACAGAGGTTCATACACAAAGGAATAGATCTTATTCATTAACAGTATATATAGGTCAGATTCATGCGGGTTGATGTCGCTGTTCACTGCCATGCAGGACAGAGGTTCATACACAAAGAAATACATATTCATTAGCAGTATATATAGGTCAGTCATGTGGGTGATGTCACTGTTCACTGCCACGCAGGACAGTGGTTCATATACATTGGACGTCATATTCTTATTGAAGACTAATCAGTGTGGGCTAGCAAATTTGGGATAAATAGCAGGAATGTCCTCAAGCACCCCTGATTCAATGTAGTAAGTGCAAAGTTCATGATATAATGAGCCAGGTGGCCTGAAGTCTTTGACAGTGTCACATGAAAGGGGGGAATTTGTGTAAGTACACCATAAAGTGTACGTACGTGAAAGAAAAACAGACTGCTTCTCCCAGTCTTGAATCTCCCTCTACTACTGAGTCTTATCCTAACCATTGTACACACACACACACACACACACTTGTGCTCTTGGATTCAATGTTACAATTAGTCACTTCTCATAAATAAGGTAAAGAGAGCTCAGGCTCTCAATTCGCTCAGCTATGTCAAAATTATTATTATTGTCCACTCTGCATCGGTATAATTTTGACTAAATAAACTTTTTAATATAAATTATAAAAAAATATAAATAGTTATTATTATTGTACACACGCATGCTATCACGGGAATGAGGCAATTTTCATACAGCATTTTAATTAGCCACATACAAAGCATACTTAATTAAGACCATGAAAGGCGAGCTTGTTAAGTTAGTTCGAGTCATGAGGCACGTCTAGGTAAAGTCCGGTAAACTTTATTTCTGTGTGGAAATATACTGTGCCGTATATTTTTGTTATATTGTTGGTCCCTGGATTAATTTGATCTGTTTTGGAAATATGTGAAAATGCCTTTTTGTCTTAATATTATGTTGGAACAAGTAAAACATTTATTTTTCCCTTTAATAAGAAAATAGTAAATTTTTGCATTGGTGCAGATGGTAATGTATTTGATTTCCCATGAAAGGTAGATGGATACAGAAGTTATTTATGTATTCAACCAAATCGTTACATCAGTTCACATTGTTTCATCATACATACGTAGTGCAAGCATACAAACAATGATAAACAGGTCGATTGAACCAAGATTAACCCGAGAAAAGTGTAAGAAGTCTGTTTCCATTTGTCTCTATCTATCTATCTGTAGCATTGTAATATATGGACACGGGTAAGCAGGTGTAAATCTATTGATTTTTCCTGAAGATTGAGCTTGAATAAAGGACCTCGTTATCCTTGAATAACAATAGAGTCTTTCGAGTGAGTGTGGTGGAGAATGGAGATGAGTCTTGATGTGGCGGTGAGGATCGTGTTGATGCTGCCTGTCATGTTCTGGAACACCACAGGGCTTCTTGTGGTGGTGACTTGTGGCTCCAGATAGAACGCCAACCGCGTCCAGATTGATTTGATATATGATGACATCATATATCAACGTAACTCAAGGCTGATTGGCTGAATGTTTGACATAAGCAACAGGGAGTAAATTACAGACAGGTGGAAATTTTGGAATCTAAAGATGGTACGACAAGATATTGTACTGCATTGACTTAACATTTTTGGCATTTATCATGTATTCAACACCATTTGTGTTGTTAATGCAGTAACGGTATTATTATCGTTTCGGTCATCCGGGGAATCTTGGGAATAGATGAGTTGTCGGTCGGAATTTTTTCATAAGATGGCAGGTCAGTGGGTAAAGAAAATGCTTAAATTCACTCTGGTAATTATATTTTTAATAAATTTGGCCAAAAAGTGTAAAAAAAAAAGGGTTTAAGTAGCTAAAAAGTCACGTACATGTAACTGCGAAAAGCTCGGCGATTGATTGTGACGTCACCGGTTACCTCGAGCCACCGAGCAAGAGCCAGCTGTGGTGTATGTGTTGTTACCAGCAGAAATACAGGACTTGTGACCAAATACAATGTTGATATACACAGGCATACCTTATTTTTAGGTTAAAATAAATTACTGCTCAAGTTCATCGTGTGTATTTACTTGCTGGGTGCCAAAATGATGCAATACTGTAGACCGATAACTCCAACACGGAAGTTTTCATCACTGTTCTCTATTTCATGTCTGGATAATGTAATTTTCATCACTGACGTCTATATTTAATGTTGTGGAAGGACTAGGGACGACGGTGGCCAGGGGATGGGCTCGAGATGATCAGATGACAGATGTAATTTAACGTACTTCATAGTTGGATGGCGGAGATCTTGATAATACTCTACTATCATAAAGACATTTACATTTGATAAATTTCTTTCATCTGCCTTCATGAACCCTGGAAGTAGTTGTCCAACCTTCTCAGCTGATCGGCTCTGTAAATAAATATTATTAGATAATTAATTGTGCTTTACTGTGCAACAATAATACTATTTTGAATATATAAATATTACTAAGCACATTAACTAATTCAATGGATATTAGCTGCCCCTAGTTGACAAATTTCATAGTATAAACACTCCAAACAATATTGGTATTATTTTGGTTGTGGTCATTTGGGGAACCTTAAGATTCTAACTATGGGAGTGAGTACTTTAAACAATAAGACAAATAATATCTATGGAATTTCTGTCGCAAAACATTTTTCGATCACATAAGAAAATACAGATCTTAGGTTAGTTAAGGCTACATGAATTATAAGTTATAAGGTTAGTTTAACATATACCGGTAAGGGGAGGGGTTAGTAACTCAAAACTAGTATTTCTGATAGAAATGAAGGTCAAAATCGTTCATAACACATCGCAAACCATCAGAAAAAAAACATAGTCTGCATGTCTACGTACAGGGTTAACCAAAACTTAAAATTTACCCAATATAGCCCATCTCGAATCTAAACATCCAAATACTTGTGGTAGTTAAAGTAAAATTTTACCCATTAATTAATATAAATGATATATCCCAATGGTTCATTGGTGAATCATGAAAGCAATAACAGCACTATGTTGTCATGTCATCAGGCATTCTCAAAACAAAGTCCAGGTAATGTCATCACTTCTCAATTTACTCCTATCTCCATCTAGTACTGATATACTCTGTAAATGCACCGAAGAAAAAAAAAAGAAAGTCTACCAGGTAAGAGTACATGATAGCTGAGCTGGTGTAAACATGGGAGTTTTTTATGTCCATAAGCTGCTCTTCACAGCACATTTCTTCACTTACGAAATGTCCATGACTTAAACCATTAAAAAAAAAAAACGCCCTTAAAACTTACCCGAACGTGGCACTTGGGGTCTGAAGAGGCCATCCTTTGTACTACCTCCGACTGCAGTGGCGAGTTTGTTGGAGAACGTCGTCTACAGGGAAACTGGTGAAATCATTGCAAATGGTAGCCCTGTTTCTCGAGAAATAAGCTTATCTCGACTATTATACCAAGACTTTAAACTTTTATTACAAATTATATATACCGTATCACTCTATGGACGTGGCAGAGTGTATTTCTTGTGTTTACTCAGAGCCGACAACTCGTTCATTTAGGTGGTATTATTTTCGTTTCGGTCCTGTGGCGAATTTTAGGATTTTAAGTTTTGGAATCGGTAGTTTAGACACTTTTCTTCCACAGTATAGCGTTTCCGCCGGAAATATAAAATTTTCAAGTATTTTAACCGGTAAAATTACCAACAGTATTACTTGTTCAAACTGGGCAGGGCTGTGAAATAGAGGGGAAATAGGGGCAAAATGCTAAATATGACGCCAAACAAACCACTGAAAACCTTACCAAACGTTTCCTAACTTGTAAAAATGTTAAGAATCACTTAGGAGTTTATGGATCCCTCCTCATCTGGACACCAAAAACTTAAATAAGGTAAACTTTTTATAGTTTTAGTATCTTTAAAGGTTATGAAACTTTAGGTCAGGTTTTCAAATGTTTGATTAATGTTTGTTTTTTCCCACATTTTATTGATTAAAATACTTGAAAGATATAAATTTCCGATGGAAACGCTATACTGTATAAGAGAGGTGTCTTACAATTTCCTAAGAATTGTCCAGAACTTAAAATCCTAAAATTCGCGACATGACTGAAACGATAGTCTTACCATTTAGGTTAGGTTAGATATAGTTCCTGGGTTCTGTGGCTAGGTTAGTTAGGTTAGATTAAGTTAGGTTAGATCAGATCAGATCAGATCAGATCAAAATCATTCAAAACACGTCAAAAACCACCAGAAAACCACAGGGATGACTGAATTTATAATTTTACCAATGTATGACTGTTAAACCATTTATTTTCCAGACATTGTGAACCAATATTGATTTGCATCGGCGGTTTGTTTATTGTGTGTGTATGCGTGTGTTCCGGCCATAGATTCAAAACAGAAGCAGTTAGAGACGTGAAACTGTACTCATACATTACAATGGCCCTCTTGGCATTACTATTGACCACGGACCCCTAGGTGGTCTGGGCAAGAACCAAAAATCTTTACCATTATGGCGATTGTGAGAAGTGGTTATCTGTGTCAGGGAGAGCAAACTGTGACAGTCAAGGTTTTATAGTACTGTATGTCCCCGAGCAAAGCCTGGCAACTTTGATTCATAGTACAGTAATGTATAGTATGTGCTGTAATTCATAATTGCAATGTTAATTTTTCGATACCAGAATTTTAACATAAGACTACAGTAATTTTAAATGTTTCTTTATCTGTGTGTGTTACTAGACCTTTCATGTACTGTACACCTGTTCATGTCTTGTGTTAATTTACAGGGGCAAATTCGCAGCTGTGCGCCGTGCCAGGTGCCTACGCTCCGGTACGTGGTTCGCTGCCAAGGTAATGAGGAAGCGTCGCCGAGCCCAGGACGTTCGCCATGAGATCCTGCACGAGGCAGCTGTCCTCCTGCTAGCCAGACCCTCCACCAGGATCGTCTCCCTCCACCAGCTGTACGAGACCACCTCAGAGATAATCCTTGTCCTGGAACTGTTAGTATTTCCAACCAGATTTTAGGGGGTTTGATCTAATTTATAATAAGCCCTTAAAGACTTCATTGATGAAGCACAATACAGTACAGGTATAATAGACTAAGACATAAATATTGACCTGATGGGGTGAAGTAACCTCTGACACTTAGGGGCCTACAGTATATACTGTACTGTACTTATATTTTTCCATGGGAATTTCACAAAATATGTGTTAATCCGTTTAATGGAAATATGGTGACAGCAAGGATAAAACTGCACTAAAAAGGCTTGGACCACCCTCAACAACCTACAGTATGTACTACAGGTACAGAGTTGTGTCAGAATGTGGGATTCTTTGTAAGAGTGAAATGAATGAAAATATGTAATAACTAGTCATTAAATTATCAAAGATAAGTCAGTTACAGTTATGCATGTTGGAATGTGGGAAGCACCCTCAAGTAGTATAGCAGCCTTTTTATACTGTATACTGTACTTAGGGGTCAGTACTCTCTTAATCTTTCCATCCTTTTGTCTGTTACATATGGTACTTCTTTTAGTCTTCCTTCATTTTCAGAGAATTTTCCTGAAACAATACAGAGTTAATGCTCATATAAACTGAAGATGTGCATGACAGGTTACTGTAACTAGCACTTAAATTATTGAAAAAAATAGATTGTATTAAACATTTCTTCAGTTTGGGTATTACTGGTACATTTTTTGTTGATGCTGTGTCAGCAATATCTTTTTCATCGTCATCATAACCATTATTATAATCCTTTTACTTGACTTTGGTTTGTTTTGATGCATCCTAACTCTAGGGATCATTACAGAGCTGAAGGTGGGGAGCTACAGAGAGTCATAGATGAAGAAGAAAGTCTAGAGGAGGGCGTTGTGCGTCGGTATATGATCAACATCCTTGGTGCTCTTCGTTTTCTGCATGCCCACAATATTGCTCATCTTGACCTTAAGGTAAGAATTTATATTGCACATAAACAATGTACCCCAATTACTCTGACAGTGTGGTGGTCCTAGCTTTGGATTTTGCCCTGATGGAAGGGCCTCCAGGCTACCCTACCACTGTATCTTCTTTCCTCAATTCCACTGTATTTCTCACAGTATAGGCATTTCCCTCTTCCCAGCACACCTGTACTTCTCTCTTTACCAATTCCAAATACTGTACTGCTGTTTCCACTGTCTGCCATGTCTTTCATTCCAAACACAGCTATTTCTTGCCCTTTTAACACTATGCCACATGTAGTGGAGCACGGCGGCAGTCCCGGCCTCGTACTCGGGAGTCAGTTGCCAGTGAGTCAGTGTTGCTGTCCGCACAGTCATTAAATTTACCGCTTGTAAGCTTAGAACGAAGGTTTATGCATACAGTAATTGTAAATAGGTTATGATTTTCATTGAAAAACGTGTTTATTTTTTATTTCATGTTTTGAGCATGCTTTGAGCCATCACCAACAAATGATGCCATTATTCATCCACGTTCAACATCCACCACACTTCAAGCAACACCCACACGATGCACAGCCCCCCAAAACTACAGTACAGTACTGTACTGGTGTATCTCACGGTAATGCATTGTAATGCACACTACAGTACAGAATAATGGTACGTCATACAATACACACCAAGGTATTGTAGAGATAACTGAATCCAATAGATGCATAAAAGCCCTCCCCCATACCCCCCCTACCCCCCCTTTTTACAGGCCCTGTCACCCCACCACCAGAGAAAATGTACCATTTTCAAAGATGGTGAATTTTGGGATACAACTATGGAATACCTCCACACATTGACAGTGGTTATCCAAAATAAAATGTTGTCAGCAAAAATAAAAAATAAATGGATGTGTGACCGCGTCGGTTGTGTGGAAACAAAACTAAAAATAAGACATGTCAGCACATCCATTGTACATTATGTGGTATATTATAGTGTTAAGCTGCTGCCATCAGGTAAATCATTTCTATAGCTTGAATTTTTAAAACATTCTACTTTATTCCAAGATCATGTTTTACACTTCCATGCATCAAGATGGAAAGTATTAAACTATCCCAGTTCCCTTTTCACATCCCAGTTTGTTTACCATCCTTTAAAAATACATACAATTGGATTACTGTGTGAAGTCAAAATGGAAATGTTAAGAATTCTCTGACCACATATCTAACACATGATTTGGCAGACCTTCACCCAAACCTCTCACTGATCTTACTCTTGTATTCTGTTAATTACTCTGCCTGACCAAGAACACATCTTTCATATTTCTCTCCACCGTGCAGGGGCAGACCTAGGAATATAAAAAGGGGGGTCCAAGAAGTTGTGGGTGAGAGAACATAGCGAGAACAGTGAGTCCACCCAGCCGGGGGTAAACCCCCCAGAATTTTTTTTTTAAATCTGACCAATATCATGGGCATTTTGAGACCATGTGTACTTAATATTAGGAGATATTCTGAGGTCAATAGAAATTAGTTTTTCAATACAAAAACGTTTAAGTACATTACTGCATTAAAGAAAAAGTATTTGAATTTTCTCATGAAAAGGGGTCAGGACCTCCCCTGGATCTGCCTCTGCCATGTCATACTTATATAGTACTGTATTTATACTATGGATGTACAGTACCAGATAGTGAATTTTATTACAGTATTCAGCCAGATACTGGATTTGCCAGATAGTATAGTATAGCTTGTGTAGGCTAACTTCAAGCCTACACTTGCATTCTTGCAGCCGTCCATCTCTCCTTATTTATATTTTTGTCCATGAATCATTGTAACTCACAAAAATACTTAAGTTTTAACATTACCTTTTCCATCAACATCCTTTAAAGTTACATTCTGCAACAGCCACATATACTGTATTACCTCTTTGACTTCACCCTGTCCCTTCATAACTGACCGTAAAACTATGTCTTCTTAATATTTTATTGTAATCATCATACTATATACTGGTAGTACTACACAATTTTGGAATGTACATTTCTTTATTGTAGTATTTTACTTTTTGGGGATGATTTATTGTCTCACAAAAACTTAATGGAAAGATGTTCAAGTAAATGAAATTATTGTAATATTTAGAGTAAATCTCTGGTTATTGGAAGTGTCTGAGTAAGTGGAAAATTGGTTAAAACGGATCTGCCCTGCACCAGTTATTCCGCTATTGTGGTCATTTATTGTAAAGAGAGAAAACTAAAAGAATCAAGGACTAATAAAGAGTTCAGCTTAGTCCTGAGTGCATCCTTTATTACCCATTTTCATTTACATTCTTTTTATTTAATTGGAAATATATACAGTGATCCCTCGGTTAACGAGTGCCTCGGTTAACGAGATTTCAGTTAACGAGTTACCTCCCATAAAACTCTTAACCTCGGTTAACGAGCAATCCCTCGATTAACGAGTTTCTTACGAGCCGACCTCGACATGTTTTGGCTTGCACTTGGCGGTCAAGCAGCTGTAGTATTAGTCCGCCAATACAGTAATCGGTTCTAGGACTTAAATTCCTTACTATTTTAGTAAATATCAAGAAGTTTATACTATTCAATAATTTTAAAAGTTTAATATTAAATTTTTTAGTCATTTTAACAATTATTGAACATAATTGAAGGTAGGGTCGCTAGTTTGTGGCGCGGCATCCAGCCTTTTAACACACCAAACAAGCGTTAGTCTCTCTCTGTTTTCAGTGGAGGTAACATCTTGCTTGAGACTCTCTTCAACTAAACACTTTTTTTCTGTGTTTCTAAGCAAATTATTGGTCTTTTGAAATTTATTTTACATATTGACAATATATAGCGCAGTGCAGTGTTATTTTAAAGAAAATATTCTTTATTTACAGCTAGTTTAAACTTTAAAAATCACGTGTTGACATTGTTTGAATCCAGCATGGGGTCTAAGAGATCAAGAAAAGCGATTTCAATCCAAACCAAGCGGGAAATCATTAAGAAACATGAAGAAGGCATTAGAACAAATGCGCTATGCAAAGAATATGGCATGTCGATATCAACTGTGTCGACAATTCTTGCACAGAAAGACAAATTTAAAGAAGTGAAAGTGAGAGACAAAGCTACCTGAGTGTTTAAAAGTAGATCCCTAATTGAAGAAACTGAGAGGTTACTTCTCATCTGGATTAGGGAAAAAACATATGAAAGGTGATTCAGTTTCTACTGAATTCATTTGTGAAAGAGCCAGGGAGATTTACGAACATTTAAAGACAGCCCAACCTGGTTCTTCAGGCACAGAATTTGAAGATTTTTGGGCCAGCAAAGGCTGGTTCGAAAAATTTAAGAAAAGAAGCAACATTTTCAGTGTTATTAGGCATGGTGAGACTGATAGTGCTGATAAGGAAGGGGCAGCAAAGTTTTTAGTGGAATTTAAAGAACTGATGGAAGAAGAAAATTATCTTCCACAACAAGTGCTCAATGTGGTCGAAACTGGGCTTTTCTGGAAAAAGATGCCCAAAAGAACATTCATCACCAGAGATGAAGCCTCTTTACCTGGGCATAAACCTATGAAAGACCTTCTCACTCTATTGCTTGGTGCCAATGTTTCAGGGGATTTCCGACTGAAGCCTATGCTTGTCTACCACTCTGAAAACCCCAGGGTGTTTAAGCACCAGAAAGTGGTAAGAGCAAAGCTTGGAGTTTATTGGAAGTCCAACCGTAAGGCATGGGGACAAGACAGCTCTTTAATGAATGGGCTGTTGAGGTGTTTTGCCCTTCTGTCAAGAGCTACCTAACCACCATTAAACTCTCTTTAAAGGCTCTTCTCCTCATGGATAATGCTCCTGGTCATGACCCTGAACTTGCCAGAAATTTGGAGTATCAATTTGACTTTGTGAAAGTGTTGTTTTTGCCTCCCAACACTACATCAATCATACAGCCAATGGACCATAATGTGATCAGCAACTTTAAGAAGTTGTACATGAAGAAAATGTTTAGGAGGTGTCATCAGGCAACTTCCAATGATCCTGAACTAACACTGAAACAGTTCTGGAAGACACAATTCAACATCCTGGAGGCTGTAAAATTGATTGTGTCATCATGGCAAGAAGTCTCCACTAGATCCCTCAATTCTTCATGGAAAGCACTGTGGCCATCAGTAGTCCATGATTTTGAGGGATTTCAGGATGACACAGAGTTGGACCAGGAGATTGTGTCCATTGGTCAGTCATTGGGCCTTGAAGTGGAGGAGAAGGATGTGGAAGAGCTTGTGATGTCTCATGAGGAGGAACTTACTTCTGATGACTTGAAGCAACTGGATGAGATGTTAGAGGCTGACAATGGTGAGGAGTAAATGGAAAGTGATGACCATATGCCAACTAAAGAGTTGAAAGATGTGATTTACCACTGGGAGAAGTTCAGGGAACTGGCTTCAAGGCACCCAGATGTGGAAAAATCTGAACTAACTTTGTGTCATGTTGAGGACTCAGTGGTCTCCTTCTTTAAACATAAGTTAATGGTGAGGAGGACAGATGCCCCACAGACCACAATTGACACTTTCTTCAGTAAAAGGCAGAGGGAACAAGATGCTATCCCTCAGCCTTCCACTTCAAGAAGGAGAGAGGATGTTCATGGTGGAGAATCTGTCAGTCCAGAGGTTCCTGACATTTTCATCGAAGGTGACTCACCTTCCAAGAAGCAGTAAAATGCTTCTCCTCCACCTCCACTTCCTTCTCTTCTCCCTTCTCCTCCTCCACATCCCACTTCAAATTCACATCAGCATCATCATCCAGGAGCCGTCTCCATACACACCTCAAAGTAAGTGTCGATTTCTAACATTTTTGTTGAATTTAAGCAATTTTCGGTGAGCTGGAACGAATTACCCAAAAACCCATTGAAACAATGGCTTCGGTTAACGAGATTTTCGGTTAACGAGCAACCTGCTGGAACGGATTGTGCTCGTTAACCGAGGGACCACTGTAAACAGTATACAGTATGTATATATACAGGGGATCCCCGGGTTAAGAACGGATTCTGTTCCTGAGACCGTCCTTAAGTCTGTAAAGTACGTAAGTCAGAACACATACCCTATGTGCACTATATCATAATCCAAGTCCTTTTATACATCTCGAATCGCTTAATTTAAGAGAAAAGAAGAAATTGAATGACAAAATACAGTAAAGGAAACTAAAAATTAAAGTTTAACACTTAAAGTGAAACCTGGGACTGGCTTGCTTTTGTAGGAGTGACAGAGGCTTTATTGGGATGGTTAAACTGAAACTTTCTTCTTTCCATCATAAATCTTTCTGTAGCATCATAGACATGTCAGTAATACCTTTATGAATCTTGGTGAATCCTGCTGTGTGGGCATCTTGCTGTTGAAATTTAAACAATCCTTCTTCAATAAACCTGAGACCATCTGCCATTTCTTTTGTAATGAATCCCTTTGGTTCTGGAGTTTCAGCTGACAAAATTTGCTTCTGCTTAATCAGGTCCTCATTGTTTAATTCTTCAGCATGAGACTCAAGCAACTGTGTGACATCATCCTCATGAATATCAAGCTGGAGTTGATTCCCAAGGTCTACCACTGTCTGTGTTACTTCCCCAACATCATTTTTAGAGCCCCTGAAATCATGGACAAACTGTGCGTAGAGTTTTTTCCAAACACCGATTGCCCTTACCTTGACCCGGTTAAACCAGCCCCTACTAGCAACAAAATCTTCCCCATCACTTTCACCACCACATTTAGCCTTCAAGTCAGCATGAAAGCTTCTCTCTTTTTCCTGAATCAAGGCTAGAGTTAGAGGCAAATCCCATTGGTTTTGATCTTCCATCCATATCACTAACAATCTTTCCATTTTAATTAACAATCCACTTCTTTGTTTTGTTATCACAGTTAAGTGCATTGGTGTAGATCCTTTTACATATTCAAGAATTTTCTCTTTGTCTTCCCAAATTGTTCCAACCATTGAACGACTGAAACCCAACTCTTACCGATCACTGAGGGTGTTTTGCCTTTTTCATTACGTTTAATTACATCAACGTTCACTTCCACTGTAATTGTTTTCCTTTTCTTGGATGCACTACTATCACGTGCATCAGGTTTCCATTTAGGAGCCATGATGAAGGCTGAAAAAGACAGTTAATAAGCAAAAAACAACAGTTTGCACTTGATCACGCATGTTTAGGCGAGGGTAAAGCATTCCGACTCTCCCGCTCCCTCAAGGCAGGTGACTGGGTGCGACGCATCCCTCCCCACGCGCCGCTCCATCTCCCCTCTATGCTGCATAAACTAGTTTTCGTACGTAACCGCTATGAACCATCGTACTTATGTCAGATTTAAAAAATAATTGACCTTATGAGATCTCGTTCATATCAGTTGGACATTCGTAAGTCGGAGACCCCCTGAGCTTATTAGTTGTTGTATGTACAGTGGGGTATGCTATAACGAACGTAATTGGTTCCAGAACCTCGTTCGTTATAGCATTCGTTCGTTATAGGATTAATCTGTTCCAGGCCCCCAAATACAACCACTTAACACTGAAAAAATTCTGTGGAAAATGTAAAAAATACAGTACTTTATCTTACCTTAGTGTTATTCAGCATGCAGGTACCCCTAAACACTGGCACATCACTATCACTTCCACTGGGAGTCTTGGCTTTAAGGTCCTCAAACAATTGTTTAGCCTTCTCACAAATTATAGCTTCACTAATGTTACCACCTGCCATTTCTTTCTCCTTTATCCACACTAAGAGTAAATTTTCCATCTCTTCAATCACATTACACTTTGCTTTGCTAAGTCTAAAGATTCCCTTAGCCACTTGCACAGTTTTTAACTCCTCTTTATTCTTCAAAATCGTACATATAGTCGATTTAGCCATCCCATATTCATCACTAAGTTTCGCAATGCTTCTTCCATTCTCACGTTTCTTTACAATTTCTTTCTTAGTTTCAAGGGTTATTAGCTTTCTCACTCGCTTTGGACGACTCATTGTTACAATTGTATACTTGTATAACAAAATAGTTATACAAATAATGCGAATTTCCACATCAAAAGACGAAATTTCAACAATAACAGTGGTGCACTGGCTACACAATGAGACAAAGATGGCGCCTGACGCTCTTGTTGTGGGTCGTGGTACAACAATATTCATGCGCCAGGCGAAATAGTCCCGTATTCATCCGCGTTCGTTGTAGGAGTTGCGTTCGTTATAGCATTCTCAATTTTATAGGTAAAACCGTTCATTATAGGAATATTCGTAGTAGGATCCGTTCGTTATAGCATACCCCACTGTATTTGTTTGCCATAGAGAACAGATAATGCAGATATGTCCTTACTCCAGGTTTACCAGTCATTCCATCCTCCATTTATCACCTATCCACTCAAGTCAGCTTTCCAATCACTCTCAATATCTCCTCTTTGTTTACACTTTTCCAATTTCATATTTTCACTTTATTCAGAAATTTTACTTGATTTCATCTTTCCTATTGCTGGAGGGGAACATTTGTATCAACCACACAGTTCATTATTCAGTCCATGTTAAACCTCACAACTAATATTTTAGTGTTTATAATTATATAATTATACTTACCTGTAAATATTCATACACAAACACCTCTGCTAGTTCTTGTAAGACTCCACACAAACACCTGCTAGTTCTTGTAAGACTCGACACAAACACCTCTGTGAGTTCTTGTAAGACTCAACACTAACAGCTCTGCTAGTTCTTGTAAGACTCGACACAAACACTTCTGCTAGTCCTTGTAAGACTCAACACTAACAGCTCTGCTAGTTCTTGTAAGACTCCACACAAACACTTCTGCTAGTCCTTGTAAGACTCAACACAAACACCTCTACTAGTCCATGTAAGGCTCAACACAAACACCTCTGCTATTCCTTGTAATTTTCAACCCTGCACACCTCAAATGTTAAGCTTGTCGTCACTTGCTGTCTGAGCTGTGTGGGTTCCAATCTTGCACAAGACAGTAATGTTTGTTAGGCGTATCACCCATACTACTATGCGTGTCATAATTATTCTTTCATACCTTTCTTTTATAAGCAGTCCCGCTGACTACTAAACACTGCTGTCCCCAAAATATTCCTCGACTGATATTTCCATTTACTCAGTTGCACAGTAGCTTCCAACCAGATAATATCCTAATTGCAGTTATTCTAAAAGTTATAATGTAAATCAGTGTGATATTGAGGTATCATATGGTTTCTCAAGTTTCTTCTTTTATTCTTCAGACACTTTACAGTAATTGTAACAAACTGATTTCTTGTAGACACTAAAATAGGAAATTTTATTCAATATAAATATTTTTGATAACTTTTTCCACAGCCACAAAACCTCCTGCTTATGGGAAAACATCCAGAAAGTGACGTCAAACTTTGTGATTTTGGTATCTCCCGAATCATTCTGTCTGACATAGAAGTGCGTGAAGTTCTTGGCACTCCTGATTATGTTGGTGAGTGAATGTCTAGTGCTGTATTCATCAGTTGGCTGTAGCACGATTATTTCTGTGTGTTGCTTTTAAATATTTCTGTAACTATATGTGTCACAATTTTATTTGTTTAAATTTAGAAATTACATGTACAGGTACTATTTTTATTTACATAATTATTTTGGCTATATACAGTAAACATAATTTTAATTCACAGCGCCAGAGATCTTGCAGTATGAACCCATCAGTTTGGCTACAGATATGTGGTAAGTTGACTAAGGAAAATTTATGAACCAGAAGTGGCATTATCATGGCAGCAGTAAATGTGGTTGCCCCATTATTGCATTAATAGCTCTCTTATTTGGCCATGTTACCCAACACCACCACTGTGTTGTTAGTCTTTATTTACTTTAGATTTAGTAAGTGGACTATGTACAATCAGACCATAAATTACTTTTACTTCTTCTGTGTTGAACAATATGATAAACTGATGAAAAATTTCTTGCATAGCTCTCACAGCTGGCTTCACATTGGTACCCTGCTTTACTTATGGGAATATATGGAACTACCAGTGACACTATTCCTGTAACTTATCCTAATGAAATTTCCTTTACTGTATAATAATCCTAAAATGGTTAAACTTAAGTTTACTGTAATTGAAGAATACAAATGAAAATATAAACAAGCATTGTAGATTTATAAATTTGAGGAACTCATATTTCATTGCATGCTTATTATTATATGAGCAATTGACTTGTTATATGAAAAGCATTGTCATGTTTTCTCAGTTTGCCCGTCGGCCACATTATTAAACCTTATGCCCCAGGCAACATTAGACCCGCCTAACCCCCTATGCAGGCATTTTTTGGCAATTTATTATTTATTTTTAACCTGTCAAAAACTGGTATTTCATGCATCAAATTAGTGCAGTCACTTCAAGCTACTGTTGTGGCTGGTGTGCATGTGGGCCCCTACATCCAAGGCACCCACAACCATGACTTCACTGAAGGGATGGCTGGTGGGGAGGGGAAGTGAGCGCCATTATCTGCATCACTGTCCTCACTGCTGACCGCCTCAACAAACTCGACATCACTGGGTCTGTTTCCTCCCCTTCATTGCCTTTGTCACCCGATACTATATTAGTGTCACTCAAATCAAGCAACTCGTGAAGAATAGCACTACTGTCGAGGGTGTACAGGAGCGAAGTTGGTCACTACGCATCGAAGGATGTGCATCTGTCATGATAGCTAGTGGGTAACTGGACCACGAGATTTGAGACAAAGATTACGTGCGAGGTGAGTTGCCAAATAAATAAATATCCCATACAAGGACTGTATTTTGTCCGAACTGGACATTCAAAATTTGCCGTGAAAATTAATGATGTAGAGGAATGTCACCCAGGCTTTAAGGGTTAAACAGCACATAAATTACTGTGAATTTTTTAATAAATAGAAATAAATAAAAGTTATAGTGACATTAAATGAAAATACAGATATTGAAATGACATTTCAGGTAGCTGACAACAATATCCTGCATCTTTAGTTACCAGGTTGCCAGGTAGTGTTGCCAGCTCTCACCATCTCTCAAGCACCCTTGTTGTCACTGCTCAAGAAGGTTGGTGCTTACCACAGGATCTGTCTTGAGCACTTAGTAAATAATATTGTACTGTTGCGTATTTATCAGAATTTAATTAATATTACTGTAGTGTATATGTCTCCATATGCCCTGGTTTATTCACTGATCAGTTGTCTAAGTGTAAACGTAGCCAAATCGGGCTATCATGTATCTGTTAATTTTAAAATACAAATTAGAAATTCAAATTTTATAAGACAATGCTTTAGTAGTGATGTTAATGTGTTTGCTGTGTAAGTGCCGGAAAATCGGAGGTCAACAACAGCAGTGACAACAACGGCACTTGAGAGTGAGTCAGTGTGACCGATCAGCTGTTACCGCTCTGTAAACAAGAAACTGAGAATATACTATGGTGCAGTATCTCATCTAGGATTAAATGTGGAACTTTGGGAGGGAAATTAATTATTTTTCGATAATGTTTTATTAACCAAGCGCCAAGTGAATCTAAATAAAATTGAAATTATGGTAAATTGCTTACATGTACAGTACTGTATTACAAAGTTCACTTACTTAACACAATATCACAATAGTACAGGGTGATGAACAGTCCGTACAGTACTCAATAAACCATGAAAGTCACAACAGTAACAGCGATGCACAGTTATAGGGACGATGCACAGTGATTGACAATCTACGGAGCAATACTAGTAAAGCACGGAACGTAACATACAAACGACAGGCGGCAAATACTAGTAGTAACAGCGTGGGTTGGTAGGTGGCACGCCGGTACTGTACCCCTACGTTGTTTCCATATAATAAACCAAGATATGTACCCCTCTGGTTACCAAAAAGTTCACTTCTGTTTTATGCTGGAAAATCTAGAAAACTATTTCTAAAATCATTTCTTAAATTCAGGTTGGCTGAATCATAGGATTGTTGTTTAGCATCTCCAAATTGGCTGGGACACATTATCACACTCAGCATTTATTTTACACTACAGTACTTTATTTTGTTATTTCCATATTTTTTTAACTCATGATTATATAATACTGGATAGGTAGGTGAATAGAAAATGGAATCAACAAGAGAGGCCTCTGCTGCAGAGTTCCAGACAACACTTATATAAAATAAACATAAATTTACATAATTATATACTTTTTTTTATTACTGTATTTATTTTAGTCAAATATGTAGATATTATTCACAGAGGCAATTTTTAGGAGTTGGCGTGTTATCGGGTAAGGCGGAAATTTATACTGTACATTTGTACCATATACAGTATACACTGTAACAATCCTGCCATGTGCTGATACTGAACCATAAAATAATGACAAATTACATATATTTACACTATTTACTTGAATAGTGGAAATTTAAAAAATTTCTAGGACGATTATCTCAAAGCCGGAAAATATATCCCTCATCCCAGATTTTTCTGGGTAACGGAAAAATACTCTCAGAAGTTCCAGAAATTGTGCATTGCATTATCTCTCGAACCCAGAAAAATATCCCCCATCACCGGAATTTTCCCGGTACAAGAAAATTTTTCTTGGATTTTCTGGAAAATGCCCGATTTTCATTTCTCAAACCTGGAATAAAAATCCCCCATCCCCAGAATTTTCCGGATACCCTGTACCAGGAAAATTTTCTCAGAATTTTCCAGAAAAAATGTCCCTCTGAAAATCATTCCCAAAGCCGGAATTTTCTGGAAAATTACGGCTTTGGGGTAATTTTCTGAAAATATTTGAATTCCGGTTATCAGAGAGTTCCGGGTTTGAGGGATTCCGGCTAACGGAGATATTACAGTATAATCCCTAAACATGGTTTCCCTTACCTTTGCAGACAATAGAGATACTCACTTTGAGCCAAGTATTCCCATTTTTTCGGCTTCCCTCCTGAATTTTTCCCAGTGAGTCGAAGATCGCTAAACCAAACAACTGCAGATTGTTAAACAACAAAAGGTATTAAAAAATTTAAATCACAGAGTGAAGAAAATTATGTACTGTACAGTTGTACCCCACTTAACGCGGTCAATAGAACCCAGAGGGTCCCGTGTTAAGTGAAAACCGCGTTAAGTGAACAACAGAACATATGGGATTAATTCCAATAGAAACCAGCCCGACCCCCAAACTCCACTTTTTGAAGACACATAACTATGTTGTAGTAAAAATAACATCTTAATTTTATGATGGTACATGCACACAATTAATACTTAAGAGAAATAGAGAAATACAGTCGCCAAGTTAATGTCCATTCAAATAATGGACTCAACTCCCTCCCCCTCTCACACTACACTGCTGGCTCTTCCCTCTCTGAGAAATTTTTGGGGAAAACCACTAAATTTTAATAAATAATACCTCAAACTAAAGTTAGGATAATACAATTGACATTGCTGGATTCCTTGTAAGACCAGGAATATTTTGAATATAAATGTCATATATTTTGCACAAAAGATAACATATTTACTAGAGAAAACATTTTATCTAAAATTTGTATGTCTAATGCAAAATATATGATGTTTATATTCAAAATGATCACCAAATTATAAGAATTCCAGCAATGTAAATTATATTCTGGCCGGGTAATTTGTATGAATTTTATGAGCTAAAACAAATATCTTCAGTTAATAAAAAAAAAATATTCTTCAGGACACTATCTGTCAATCAAAGTACCCCACCTTGCCTCCCCCCTCTTCCAACCGCGCGGTCAGTCCCAACCCTCCCCCCCACCCCCCACCAATCCTCCCTTCAAGAGAAGAGTGGGTGAAAAAAATAAATTTTAACATTTTGTATTAAATAATACCTCAGATTAAAGTTAGGATAATATAATTGACATTGCTGGATTCCTTGTAAGACCAGGAATATTTTGAATATAAATGTCATATATTTTGCACAAAAGATAACATATTTACTAGAGAAAACATTTTATCTAAAATTTGTATGTCTAATGCAAAATATATGATGTTTATATTCAAAATGATCATCAAATTATAAGAATTCCAGCAATGTAAATTATATTCTGACCGGGTAATTTGTATGAATTTTATGAGCTAAAACAAATATCTTCAGTTAATAAAAAAAAAAAATATTCTTCACGGGGTAACAGATGGTCGGTCGGTCCCTCCCTCCCCCCCACCCCCCACCAACCGTCCCAAGGAGATGTGTGGGAAAACCACTAAATTTTAATAAATAATACCTCAAACTAAAGTTAGGATAATATAATTGACATTGCTGGATTCCTTGTAAGACCAGGAATATTTTGAATATAAATGTCATATATTTTGCACAAAAGATAACATATTTACTAGAGAAAACATTTTATCTAAAATTTGTATGTCTAATGCAAAATATATGATGTTTATATTCAAAATGATCACCAAATTATAAGAATTCCAGCAATGTAAATTATATTCTGGCCGGGTAATTTGTATGAATTTTATGAGCTAAAACAGGCAGTCAGGCAGGGTGGCGGGTGGGGCAAATCTAAAAATACCGTCTCGAGCCGGACACTCACCGCGTATATGTGGAAAAAATCCGTGTTAAGTGAAAGTTCAGCTCTGGCGAGGCACCGCGTATATGGTAAAACGCGCTAAGTGAAACCGCGTTAGGCGGGGTAATACTGTATATCTACCCAAAATTAAAAGTTTAAAAATAACTATAACATGACATATACGGTAGCTGACAGGTGGGGAATG